TTTTTTTTTTTTTTTTTTTTTTTAAATAGGGTTACATTACAGAGTTATTGAACTGGACTGAATTTCAATGAAGTAGTGTCAGGGGTTTTCTTTCCACCACCCCTCCCCCTTTGCTCAGCATGGCCTCCCAGCTGTAAACAACTCCAAGAGGAGCTGGCAAGGAGTGATTAGATGTGCAGATTGCTCCGTGCGCCCTTCACATCCACAATGAAGAAAATTCACTTTACCAGGACCCCAAAACACAAAGGTCATGAAACGTTTAAAATTTCCTTCGCAGATGACGTTAATAAATTATGATTCATCCTCCACATGCAGGACTCCACGCCAGCCTGCAGCAAAGCACGTGCTGGGATGTCTTTAATGTGCTCCCCTGTCTTTCTGATTTGGGGCTGGAGACTCAGGGCCCAGCAGGACAAGTGGGTGCTGTGCTGGCAGCAAACAAGCAGCCTGCTTTGTTCCAGCAGCACGTCCCTCCTCCTTGGGCTGGGCATGCCCGAGTGCTCTGCCAGCCCAGGAATGGCCACATGTTTTAATTACTGATTGCTTATGTTAAGAGTGAGCCTGTCCCAGTGAGGAACACGATCACCTCCCCCGTGAAAAGAGTGACTGCAGAACAGAAACAGCCAGATACCATAACGACACGATTAAGGATTGAAGCAGCGAGCAGATAATTTAAAAAAAAAAAAAAAAAATTTACAAAAACTTAACTTATGAGGCAGGTTGAGAAATGACACCAAAGGTCTTTCCTTCACGACAGCTTAATTTACAAGTAAAGCTCAGCAAGTTTGAAATACTTTTTATCACAAGAACCCCAAACTTGTTTATCACAGTTACGGCAGGGCTCCTGACCGAAGGGTGTGCCGGTTTCTGCTGTAGCCACTCCCCTCCTCTTCTCCAAGGTTTATTGCTCAGCTCCTTGGGAAAAGGAGTGGGCTGCTTGAGGCTTTAGAAAGTGCAGAGAATAAGTCAGTTTTTCCCTTTAGAAAAGAAGCAGACACCAAAAACTCAAACATGGAGAAATAACGACAAAAAAAAAAAAAAATTGAGAGGGTGTGTAGTTTGGCATTTGATTTTAAAGTGGCTACTCTGGATGTTTTCAGGTATACAAAAGGGGAAGGAGTTTTAACGTGGAAGAGCAGCTTTCCACATTTAAAAAAAAAAAAATTATACCAACACACAAATATCTTTTGGGCCCATCTTTAAAAGCACGTGTGTTCAACAAAGGCAAAATACCACCAACTGGGAGCATTCAGGAACAATGTGCTCTTCCACCCAGCTCCCCTGTAACTCCACTTAGCCTGCAAGAATTTTGGCTGTGACTTGTTATGGATTGGCAGGGCAGAATCAAATAAGGCTGTGAACAACAGAGGATCCTGACTAGAGGAAGATCAAATGACAGTTTCAGGAGTAACAGAACTCACAATTATTCACTGTAGCACATCTACTGTTTCAAAAAGTAACAGTTCCTTCCCGGGACCCCAAGGTAAAGGATGAGGTTTTTGACATCAGGGTCTGGCATTTGGTACAAAGTTAACTTGTTCCTATGGCTTCTCTGCTGTGAGACCATCCCTGGTACGGAACAGTTGGGGTCACAGATTGTCAGGAGACTCTTTGGCTGTCAGTGTGAAAACCGGTGCACATCCTTGAGGCTTTTCTGGAGCCTT